TACTTCACTCTTCCGCCTTGTGTGAATAGCCTGCAGACACTGTAGCATGCTTAGAGAATAATCCCTTTGCCGAAAGTTTAGATGTGTTCATTTTTATCCAGTACTTCGGATGATGCAGTATGATAATTTGATCCACCTAACCAAATGACAGGTATGTATAAAATGTTCTTCAGATCAGAGTTGCCCAATCGGTAGAGCATTTGACTAAGAACTTAGAGGCACCGGCTTTAAGCCCTGGTGAGGATCACTTGCCTTTCGTCCTTCTAAAGCGGATGAATGAGTACTACTCCGTGGCAAATAAACAGAAGACTACAAAAGAAGACAGACCATTGGCCAATGACAAGGAAAGTGAGATCAGCGACCTAACCAATAACTTCATGTAAAAAAATGTGCCAGAATGGTCCAATCATTAACTTGTAAGGAAGATCGGCATTCCAACGGTTACAAACTTTCCTCCCTTTATCTTCTTCAGTCAATCTGATATGTGAAAACCTACCAAACAGTCAGCAATACCTGCAAAGAAACTGGCGCACGCAAGTTCTCTCATCATCTCAAGTCTGGCTTCCAAGAAAACGCTTGTTTCATAAATATGAATCAAACTAATTATAAGGTTATAAGTCTGTCTTGTACAAGACGTCTTGTATGACAACGTTTCAGATAGCAAGGAAACTGAAAGACGCTGAAAGTCAACGTTTTTCCTCAGGACAAAGAAATACTATTTCGTTGCTATGATACTGTAGCTGATGTTATCTGAAATGCCATCTCACGTAATTCATTCTTCGAATTTCTTTCAGTGCCTACAACAACTTTATCGGAAGTTTCTCCTTTCTACCTGTTGGCCCGAAACTGCATAAACTTTCGAAACCACTCTGTCATATTTTTCGACCACAATCAGCTAAAACTTTGAACTTCTTAATTCGTGGTTTCAGGTCAACTGAAATAAATGCCGACAGAGTAACGATCTTTTGTTTTTGGAAGCGGATTCGTTTTATGATCCACGATTAGCAGCATGAATGATAAGAAACTAGGATACGTGTTAAATAAAAAATTTTCCATGCCCTTCGTGCTGTTAACCATGGGATCAGAAGAAGCATCCGTTTTTATTCAACCAGCGGCAGGCTACTGGTATGAGCTCGAGAAGTTACTTATGTTTAATTTTCTACCGACAGTTTACATACTGATAACCACTTACATTCGCCGAGTTACATAAAATGATTATTTACATAATTAGTTAAATTCC